CTCCACCTTGCACATCTTCCTCCTTGGAGTATTTGAAGGCAACTTTTATGTCTCTCCTTATTTTCCCATCTCCATGTAAATTAAATATTACCAGTTCTTTTGATTAATTCTCATTTGGCGTGGTTTCCAGATGACACAAATAAATTCAAGGTGCAGTTTAACTTAAAATTTTTCCTATGTGGAATACAAAGAAGAGATCTGAAGGTTTGTTTATTTCTCATTTATTTGCTCCTAGAATTGACACAATTGGAGGAACTGGCCAGCAGCCAATGGTGCACCCCAGAACTCTGTGCTAGCTTCCCTCTTCCAATAACTGATCTCATACACACACACCAGTCGTGGGGGTGGTTCTGTGATACAAACTGGGTCAGCGAACCTCATCTCCCTGGCCACAATGATTGGCTGAAAGAATAGTCACAAGTTCCACGCTAAACTAAACAGAGTCATTCCCCAGGATTTCAAACTAGAACTAGGAAAATGCCTGCTTTCCTTTCGGCTTGTGGGCTGTTAGATGTGAAGGCCATTTACCCATCTCATGGAATGAGCCAATTTGATAGAATGAGATCAATATGCAAAGGAATACAAGAATAAAGACCTTAAATCTCGAGTTCCAGTCATTCCTAAAACCACCTCTGCCCTGCCTTTCCTGTGATATAATTATGTAAGCCAATAATTCCTCTCTGGCTGAAATAATTTTGAGTTAGGTTTATATCACTTGCAAAAAAGAGAGTCTTATTTAATACAATATCCACAGGGTTCCAACTATCCTAACAGAATCAACTCTTTTATGACTTTTATGAGTCATAAAAGAGAAAAAATGGCCATCCCATCCTACAAAAGGATATGGATAGAATATCTTTCCATCATTATTTAAGAATGTGAGTGATACTCACTTATCAAAGATTAAGGTCAATCTTCCCTAATAGCCTAGGATACAGAGGGCTGACAATGTTCAAAACTCCATTCCTAGAACTACCATAGTGCCTGGCACATGGTAATTATGTGCTTAAGGCACTCTCCACTATACTTACCATAGTAAACAGAAGACATAGTAAGCAAAACAATGAATATAAATTATGAAAATGAAGACATTAATTCACTGGAGAAATCTTAGGTATATCATTTCACATTTTAAAGGTTAGACTACCCATAAAAATTGTAAGACTAGATTATCTTTTCAGTCTTTTTTTAGCCATAAAATACTCTGATTCTGTACCTACACAATAATGGTAAAAAGGAATCCTCTAAAGCTCTGGAGGCCAGGCACTGTGGCTCATGCCTGTAATCCTAGCACTTTGGGAGGAAAAGGCAGAAAGATCACTTGAGGCCAGGAGTTCAAGACCAGCCTGGGCAACATAGAGATGGATTTTCCTACATGAAGAGAGACCCTGTCTCTACAAAAAATATAAAAATTAGCCGGGCGTGGTGGCACACATATGAAGTCCCAACTACTCAGGAGGCTGAGACAGGAGGACTGCTCGAGCCCAGAAGTTTGAGGTTGCAGTGAGCCATCATGACACCACTGCACTCCAGCCTGGGCAACAGAGTGAGACCCTGTGCCCCAAAAAAATATTAAAAAATAAAGCTCTGAGTCTGGCTATGCAGATGAAGGAGCACATACTATATTAAAGAAGGGAGCGTAAAGATAGTGACAAAGAATAACTTACCAAACAAATAATTGGGGGGCGAGGGAAGCAACACAATAATAATGGGAAGAAATCATCAGTAATACGATAAAAGAGGTCATTCAGATGTGACATCTGCCTATCTTATTCTAATCAATTTCTGTGGTCAGAAACTATCTCTGTGCCAGATTCAAACTGCCAGCCTAAAGCCTTGCCCCTTCATGGCCCCTATAATCCATATGACGGCTCCTTCAACTCCACCATACATTTCTTTTCAGAGTTGGCTTCCCACTTCTGCCTTCGGTCCCTAGATGCTCCCACCTCCTCTCTCACCATTCCAGATAGTTTTTCTTGTCACCAACAGAATGTATATCCAATTATATTGTGTGCCCCCATCCCTGTTGCCCATCCTGCCCCCTGTAATAAATGGTGCCAAACGTCCATAATTTATTGCTTAAGTTTGGAATTTAGGACTCTCAGTACAAGTAATCATAAAATGGCATCTCTGTAAGTTCAGGTGACCCATTTACACTGAGCTGCTCTGAGAAACTGACCTCAGCTCTCTTTGGGAACGAAGGCCTTGATTAGGGAAAACATTATTATAATTAACAACTGATATCACAGTATTACTATATACCCAGATATTAAGTACTATATACCAGTATATTATACTATGCATATATACTACGCTAAGCCTTTGGCCTGCATTGGCTCATTTAGTTCTTATAATATCCCTATGAGGGATATACTATTATTATTATTTACACTTTACAGATGAAGAATTAGAAAGAGTAACTTACTCATGGTTACACAGCTAGTAAGTACAAGAGCCATACTCATCTGACTCCTTGTTCTTATCCATTATGTGATCCATAAGGGCACTGATCCCCAAGAAAATACATAGAGGATGCTGTGGGGGGACCAAAAGCAGAGAGACTGGGAAACCAAAATCAGGGTCTACTTATCAATTTTGCTTAGAGTCAGCCCTATTTGAAGTAGAACCTTGTTCCCATTATGTAGCAATAGATTATCTGCCATTTTGCATTGAGGAAATGTACCCTCCATTATCCAGGCTAATCTAGTTGACTATAGAAGGCTGTACACAGACATTACAATGACGGACAACTAATTCAATCTTCTCTGCTAGGAAAATGCTACTGTTAATATCTCTTCAACTTTTGCCTATAGCTCTTGATGCAGGGCACTTCACATATGTCACAAGTATTCCATCCTTCAGTATCTAGAGAAGAAAAGTAATTGAGAATTACTGGGAAGAGAGAGAGGATGAGGAGGAAAAGAAAGAAGGATTATGAAATGTGGTGCAAACAAAATGCTATCACAAAATTTTTAAAAAATAAAATAAAACTAGTCCAGGGTGATTGATTATCCAATACCTTGTGATTCAGGGAGAAATGAATGTTTATGGTCTATTGCTAAACAAAGAATACAATTTGATCATGCACTAGAAATCACACGTTTAAGTAGCCAAAGTGGAATTTTCCTACATCACAGAGAGCTATTAAGTATTTCCTATAGAAGTAACACCTTACTATTAAATACTTGTAATCTATGCAGGATCTGTAGCAGCAGCATCATTTCAGCACTAAGAAAAAATCCGATTATTTTTAGATTCCACATCCTCCTCTAATTCCTCCCAAACCTTCATCCATTCATAAGACTTTTATGCACATTGGTAAAAAATAATAATAATAATAATAATGCCAGCCCCTCCTGGAGAGTAATCAGATGTTCCTATGCAATAATCAAAGTGTCCAGTTTTAGGGAAATGGAAGCTGGGAAGCAGACTAGCAAACTCTTTGGGGTCGATCAGGAGTTAATATGTAAGCTCTAAATACAAGGACTACAACGTTGGATGAAATGGAGCAGAGATTGTCTCTCGCTGAAATAATGGTGTTATGTGCTAGGAAGTTTGGAAGTAATACTTGACTGAAAAACTGTATTAAGCGAAAACAGAGCAGCAGGGTCTAAAATAATACACTATTAAGAATATTTAAAAGTAAAAGATCCTTAAAATACACTAATGCCCTCATTCCAAGTCCAACCAGTTTCTTATTCTAACCAATTTCCATGAAACAGGAAAAGGAGCAGGGAGGAGAGAAAGTATTTGAAAAACTGCCAGAGTAAAAAATCCCATAATGAAATTTTGCTCATTCTGGGAGAAATGAAGTAGAATTAGATGCTTCAGTGGTGGTGAATTCCAGGATCTGGGTGGTTTCCAGTAAACGAAGCCTTTCCATAATATCAAATGCAAAAACTATCTGATATCATCATATTGAGCTTGAGCTTTTAAATTCTTATTTCCTTACACCAAATTGTTTGAAATCTTTAAGATAAAGACTTCAATAAACTAGTGTTCCAAGCTTTGAATATTTTAGTCCCTTGAGCAAGCGTGTCAGATTAATCTTTAAATTGCAATGGGCAGAAAGAATATTCAACCAAATTCTTAAGCCCATGCCTCTCTCAAAGGATGTTAATAATACAAGCAGTTTCATTGGCTATTAAGATTTCTAACTTTCCTAATTCTCAACTGTATTACTATTTTTAAAGGGGCGGGGAGGAAAGTCATTCCATCCTGAAAGCAAGGGATTTTACTTATTTTTTATCTTTATTTCCACTCAGCAGCTAGCACACTGCCAGGCACACAGTAGGCATTTAACAAAGACTTTTGGAATAAGCTGATGGCATGGCTTAGGGGGGGAGAGTGGAAATCTTGCTGAGAACAGCATAAGTCCAAATCTTGGCATTGCTGGACAACAAAGGCCAGTTCCAGAATTAGGATTATTGAGGCAGAGCAGGAATTTATTTGCACGTGTATCTTCAAAGCGGCACCAAGAGGACTGATTGTTTCCTGAGCTGGAGAGCAGCCACCCAAGAGCCGCTTACGGAGGGATTATACTCGTCTCCAGCGTCACCGCGCCTGGAAAAACTCCTGCCCTGCCTCTCTGCTCTCGGCTCTCCTTGCCTTTCACCGGGTTTGGGTTTCCACTCGCAAAACCTGAGTACGAGATTCGCCCTCGCTGGTCTAACCCTACCCCCTCGCCATTCCATGGAGGTTTTCTAGTGTCCGCTTGGAGAGAGGCCACACCGTGCCAGGCACCAGACACGCGATGGCTCCGGACACCTTTGAGGGTGAAAGGGGGTTGACGGGAAGTGGTGGGGACTAGGCGAAGAGTGGGTTCAAGACCTAGGTGCTATCCAGAGGTTTCTCATCCCTCTCCCAAAGCCTCTGCACCAACCGCTGAAGATGCGGGAGAACCACCGGCACGCGCAGGGAGCGCGCTGTCGCCTGGGGTCGGGACTGGAGGGAAAGGGACAGGGAGGCGGCAGGAAGCGAGACGGGGCAGGAAACAGTACCTGGTGTGGCTGTGGTTGCGAGGACAGTCCTTCTTTTCCATGATGGCCGGCACGCAGTTGGTGAGCTCCGTCCAGTCGGCGTGCAGCCCGCAGCTCCAGCCGGTGGAGAAGCGGGAGAAGAGCCACGTCTCCTTCTTGCCCGGCCGGTGGCAGGTGCACTTCTTCTGGCCGGCTTTGCAGCTACAGGGCTGTTCCAGCCGGATGTTCTTCACCAGGTGCCGGCCGAACGTGGTGCCCCCGGTCTTCTGGATGTGCAGAAACACGATCACGTCGCGCCCTTTGATGTTGAAATCCACGAAGCGGGTCAAGTCCTTCAGGGTGAAGTTGAAGCGCGGCACAAACCGGGGCAGGGAGCCATTCTCTGGGGCCTCAGAGTCCGACTCTTCTTCTTCCTCCTCCTCCTCCTCCTCCGGGTCCCCAGGCTCCTCGTCCTCGTCCTCTGGGGCCGCGGCCCCCCGAGGACCCTCGGGCGGCCTCCGGGGCGGCGGGGGCAGCTGGGGCCGCCGTTCCCACTCCTCGGGGGGCGCCTGTGCCCGGCGGGCGGGACCCGCGGCGGCGGGCGGGCCGGCCTCCCCCGCGCGGGGCTGCTCCCCGAAGTTGGTGCAGGAGCTGGTGCAGGAGGGGGACACGTACTGGTACATAATGACCACGAAGAGGAGAGTGAGCACCGGCGTCAGCAGCCACTTGTTGAACCTTTCATCCATGGTCCCGCTCTCAGGCCGGCAGGCGAAGCGGCGGCGGCAGCGGCGCGGACGGGCGCCGGCTCGGAAGTTTCGGGGACTCCGGGGCGCGGCTCGGAGCCCGCCGCTCCTCCATGCCCCTGACGCCGAGGCGTGAGGCTGGCTGGCGGCCCCGCGGCCCTCGGGGCTGGCGGAGTCGGGGCCTGCGAGCCGAGCGGGGGAAGCGGGCGCCGGCGCGCGCGGCTGCGGCTGCGGCGTGGGGCGCCCTGCGCTCCTGGGGGCGCCCTGCGCCGCCCGCTCCCTGCTCCCGCCCCGGCGCGACGCGGCGCTCTCAGGCGACCCGCAGCATCCCGCCGGCGGCTCGCAGGCGCTCAGGCGCTGAGGAGCAGGGTTCGGGTCCTGGACCTGCCCCGCGCAGCCGGGCAGCCGGGCAGCTGCGGCCGTGAGCGCAGGGGCTGCATGAGGCTCGCCAGGGCGCCGGCCAAGGGCAGAGGCGCGGCCCGGCCCCGCTGCCCCGGCTCGCCCCCGGCACCGCGCCCCGCACACGCGTCCGGCGCCTTTGCCGGCAGGTCTCGGCGCTCGGGAGCCGCGAGGACGGACGGCGCCCGCCGCAAGTTTGCAGAGCAGCCCCCGCAGCAGCAGCGGGCGAGGCGCCTCTGCGGAGCCGCCTCTCCGGCGAGTCGCACTGCTGCTCCGGTCTGTCCGCCCAGGCGCAGACACGCAGACACACTCGCACACACAGGCTGGCACCGCCACAACCCGCCAGCCGGTGTGACAGGAGCCCTGCTACCCGCAGCAAAAACCTGCCCTAGGTACGGAGCATGCGCCAAAGCCTTCCCCAGCCCCGGAGGAGTTTCCAGGGGAGGAGTCCGCTGCTCCGCGGGGCTCTGAGGAGGCAGCTGGGGGTGGGAATCCCTTCAGCCTGGAGCGAGGAGAGATTTGGCAGAAAGGCAAAGGTGGAGCGAGAAGAGGCCCCGAGGAAAGCGTCGCTGGCGCTGATCTGAGCCCTCTACACTGGCAGGTTCTCAGTCTGACAGCGGACGGAAACCTGGCCGGCCTTATTTACAGGAATAACACCCGCACCCTGCTGGGAAGACTCACCTAGAGCAGACCACACGGGTTGGCTGTTCCCTCCGTGGCAGGGCAAACTGGCTCCAGACTGCTTTTAATTTCTACCCAAGACGTTCTAACTGTTGCTCAAGTTTTACTCTAGTCCTTCCTTAACTACAAACTTGGTGTGTCCAACTATGCAACTTTATTCAACCAGCATCCATTTATCAGTTATCCATTAGGCGCTTACCGTGTATCAGGCTCTATGTTCAACGCACATTTCATTTCTTTCAACACCAGACAGTCCAGCCCACAACCATGCAGTACTCAGAATATACAAGGAGTTTAGGGGTCACCTCCTAAAATTCATTGTACTAATATGCATTGAGCTCGTACATGTTCAAGACATTCCTTCCCACCAACGTGTAAAATAAGACCTACGCTTATCTGTATTTCATAAGTTAAGCCCTTGTTTGTATGCAGACGTCTTAGGAGACTTTATTTTTCAAACAACTAGATTTTGCATTTACCCCAGAATTAAATCTTTACTTAATAACAACTTATGTTTATCAAATAATGAATATATGTACCGTCATATTGGAGAAACTGCCCCACCACAGTCCCTTGACCTGCTTGACCTATTTTCCAGGTGAAGAGTGGCAGTGTGTGGAAGGTGGAGACCATACAGTGCGATTCTCTGGCCCAGACCAATGTGTCCCTGTGGCTACCCTGCCAGTTGCAGTGCATTCCACACCTTCATACAGCTCACCTTTCCACCTGGCCTCTTTATGAATCCATGAACTACCTGTTTCTTCCTGAGCCACTCTGCTAATCTCATCCATTTATCAGCGTGTCCCCTCTGTAGTCATCAATTAAGATCTGGATCTCTTTCAGGGATGCTAAAGGAAGTTATTTTATTGTTCTAGACAGGTGGAATTCTTCTCAACAAAGCTTCCCTCCCCTGCTTCTTTTCCTGTTTTCAGCTCTATAAACAACCACAAACTGTGCTCCTCCTGATACTGTAGGAGCCTATATTAGTAGGAAAGGTGTTGGGTAAGATGAATCAGCTTCTTTAAAGCTTATTTGATTCTGTTTCTTTTCCTCTCACTTAAGTTTAAAATCCTATTAATGACATCACATTACACCCCAGAGCAAGAAATTGTGATAAAACAAAAACCCAATAAAAGTCAACAATTATTTCCTGAATGCATCTGGTTAACTTATTTAAAATATGTGTGTGTATGTGTGTGTGTGTGTGTATGTGTATCTTTGCTTTAGTTAGGTTAAAAATCATTATACCTTTTTATGTTACCTTATTTGAGAAGTTTCTCATTTCCTATAAAATTGCTTGGTATCACATGGATAAATATTATCTTTTTAACTACCCAAATGGATAGCCAGCGTGCTAGTGGTAATTTGTATAGTGGAAAGTGCTTTCCTCGCCATTGTCTCATTTGCTCCTGAGAACAACACTCTAAGGAGATAAGAGAGGTATGATATCCCATTTCAAGATGAGGAAACTGAAGCAAGGAAAGCTAGGTGAAAGCAAAGCCGGGATTAGAAACCGCTAACATGCCTGAAATACACTCACATCACCACTGAAGAAATCCAATGAACATCAACAACAGAGCCCATAATTTCCTCTTTGCTCTCTTGGGACCCTTTGAATCAAGAGACAGGAAGAGACAACAGAATTGCAATAGGACAATTAAATTATTTTCCCTATCCCCCTGGCTTTATGGCAAAACTGAGCAATTCTACATCCTGCAGCATTTTGGCACCTAGCATATGAGTTTCCAGAAACAGGAAAAAGACAGTAACAATCATTAAATGATCATGTCATTGTTAAAAGAAATTTGGAAAATTTCAAAAGAAAACATTATAGCAAACAAATATAATAACTATGTTGCTAACAAAATCTTTATTTCCATAAATAAGTACACCTTTAACATTTTTGAAGAACATTATCCCAGAAAATATGTTTTTGCTTTTGGTAAAATAGTTAATGGAGTGCCACCATTTCCTTGAGGTAACCACGAGGAAAACAATGCATACTATCACAGCAATCACATAGATAATTCAGGCATGTGCCCAAGTGTTCCTTTGCAATGATAGGTAACTTTGGTTGTGTAAATACAGTCTGTCCCAGGTGTGGTCTTCCCATTACAGTTGTGGAACTTACTGTGGACCTAATCAAAGCTCTTAAGTCACACAATAAACAGGCTGCCTTATCTACAAGGGCAGACCTCACATTCAGGCAAAAATGAATAGAAACTTTCTAAAATTGAATGCTCTCCAGGTAAAAAGGAAAAACATATTTGCATTCAGCCTACTATAGTTACTCCGTGATGACACCAGCTGGCAATTGTTTCTGGCTAACAGATTGCAGCTACTATGATTCCTACACAAATTATTAAAATAATAAAAATAATGTTTTCAACAAGCTTTCTTCCACTCCTTTGCCAGTCTAGCAATGAGCTTAACACTATCTGTGAAGCAATTTGTTCACCTAATTTTATGCCTTAATAAGCTTTACTACAATTATTTTCTTGCCTGATCCTTTCTCTGCCTTAACTTTAGTACACTTCCTCCCTGTTCTCAAATATTCTCAAACCTGTTAACAACATTGCACTCCCCCAGGATTCAAACTTTTGATTAGAACAGTCTCCATTTAATCAACTTCAATTGGGAGATAAAATTGCATCTCAACTTCTCCATTTTCCCTTTGGTGCCAGAAACTGCCTTTGAGAATATTGAGGAAACCCTGGAGAGATTAACAATCCAAACAATCACAGAGAATAGTTTTGGATCCCCTACATTTTCACAGAGAAATAGATAGATATGAATGCCCCCTTCAATATAGAGGAAAACAAAATAGATAATGTAAGTCATTGGCAGCATGAACCTCTCCTATAAGAATAGAAAGTATACAGTAAAATGACTTATACAGTAAAATGACTTTCTTTTTCATTTTTGTAAACAGCTCTCCCCCTTACAAAAGCCCTTAGAATAAGCAGTTTTTCAAATAACCAGCAAAGTGGTAGCTTTCTTTTTCCTTAGGAAGTAAAAAGGAAGACTTTGTGTAGTTAGAGCAAACTGCAGAAAGAATTATGATAAATAATGAATATATTCCAGTTCACTACATGATTGTAACTTTGGGACAACCATGACCCTACATATCACTTCCCATAAAGTTCTGTTTATAAGAACAGTTCATTTTTTGCTTTATTGTAAAACACTCTTCATTCACCATAGATGACTGCCTATGGGTGATGAATGAAAACTATGCTATCTGTATACATAGTGTATTCATTAACTCACTATAGTCTAAGCAGATGCAGTTATCTTTTTACAGCAGATATTCATTTCTTCACTAAGAACTTGTTAAGCACTACTGTATATTAAATATTGTACTGAATGCTTTAGATTTACTATTAAACAAGACGAATAAGGACCCTGCCCTCATGTATCTTACATTCTAACAATGGAAAAGTAAACAAGATTCATTTATTTAATCTAAAGACATATATTGAGCGCCTGCTATGTGCCAGGTGCTTTTAGGTACTTGGGATACGTTGGTGAACAATAAAGAATAATTTTTGCTCTCACCAGTTTAAACGCCAGCAGGATAAAACAGTAGGGAAGAAGTAAGAGATATAATGGGAGGAGGGTCATGTGGGGCCTTGTGGGCCATTGTAAGAATTTTACTCTAAGAGAAATGGGGAGCCACTGGAGGATTTGAATAGTTTTAAAGGGTCCTTTTGTTTTGTTGAAAGTAGACTAAAATAGGAAAACCACAGAACAGGAAAACCAGTTAAGTGGCTATTCCAGCATCTCTCTAGGTGAGAGATGATGGTAGCTCAGACAAAGACAAAGTGGTTGCAGAGTAGGTGGTGGGAAGTGGTCAGATTGCCTGTATTTCAGGACACAGCCATCGGTGTTTCCTGGCAGATCGAATGTGGGATATAAGACAA